GAACAACAACTTATATCATATATTCACAATAATTGGAATGTTTAGTATAAAACAAACGAATTGTATTTATTCTCGTAATAATTGTAATGTTTAGTATAGGTCTTGATGTTTAATATACTTCTGATAATGCTTCAGGCAGTGGCTGGGTTTCGCTGTGTTATCTCATAAACGAAAACGACTTATATCTTATATTCACAATAATTGTAATTAGTATAAACCTTGATGTTTAATACTTCTGATATCTGCTCCAGACGATGGCTGGGTTTTGCTGTGCTATCTTATAAACTTATATCTTATTTTCACAACAAATGTAATGTTTAGTATAAACCTTGATGTCTAATACTTCTGATGATACTTCAGGCAATGGCTGGGTTTCGCTGTGCTATCTCATAAACGAAAACAACTTATATCTTATATTCACAATAATTGTAATGTTTAGTATAAACCTTGATGTCTAATACTTCTGATAATGCTCCAGGCATTACAATGAATGTAATGTTTGGTATAAACCTTGATGTTTAATACTTCTGATGATACTTCAGGCAATGGCTGGGTTACGAGGGTCGATGGGGGAATCCGAAGAGCAAGTGCCACACTCTTATGGCTGGCTTCTGCGAGCTGAACCAAGGCCCGACCGGGATTCCCAAGAAACGCATTAATTTCCCGTGTATTCAGGAGCCATGAGGTGTTCCATCGGACAATCAACTATGAGTGCCGAATAAATGAGAAGACTATGAGGTATCAGTGAACAATCGACAGTGAGTGCCGAATAAATGAGAAATGAACCATGAAGTGTATCATCGAACAATCAAAGAAGATTGCCGAATAAATGAAATAAATGGACCATGTTTATCATCGAACAATTAACAATAAATGCCGAATAATTGAGGAACCACGAGGTGTATCATCGCACAATCTGCCGAACAAATGAGAGAAATAGACCACGTGGTGTATCATCGAACAATCAAAGAAGTTGCCGAATAAATGAAATAAATAAACCACGTGTATCATCGAACCGAGTGCCGAATAAATGAAATAAATGAAAGAAGTGGAATGCACCAACTTATCATAATGAATATATTTGTATATATATTTTTTGATGGAACCTCTTCATGTTGTTGATCTATATCGGCGATGCCAAGTGATGACTATTTCATATGCTATTCAGTATCCACATGCATTGGATCTGTCTCTTGTATTTAGTGTTATGTGGTGATTATGTTACGAGGTGTATCTCAACTTCTCTGAAAATACTCAACATTTTATTTGAATGATTGTTGTTTTTATATGTTACTTTTTAAAGGATTCAATGATAAAAATAATTTGTCCTAAATTAAAATATGATAAAAAAAGCTGAGTTTCTGTGTCGAGTTACACAACAAGCACCATGAGTATATGGTTGATAATCCATAAATTGGTATGCACACATTTATATATACATATATATATATATATATATATATATACATATATATATATATATATGCATACCAATATCACCATCAATATATATATATATATATATATTATATATATATATATATTGTAAACACATAGTATATAATATATATATATATTATATATATATTATATATATATATATATCTATATAATATATATATATATATATATAATATATACATATATAACCCACACACACACACACCGCACACGCACACGCACACGCACACGCACACGCACACGCACGCGACACACACACACACAGCACACACCACACACACACACACAGCACACACACCACACACACCACACAACAACACACACACACACACAGATAATATATATATATATAATAAACGCACCCACACCAGACTCACTAGGGGGTTATGGGACATTTGCGTGCAATTTACGTTCAAAGTGGCTATCCACCTTTGCGCTTATGGGAGTCGTAAATCAAACTGTCGTACGTGATCTGGTGCGCTACCGAATCAAAGAAAACGGGGCTGCCAGACGTACAATTTATTTTGAATAACTTTATCACGTTGTTGCCCTGCGAAGTGAGATATTTCGTGACTTATTGAAGCAGTTATTGTCTACAGAGATGATATAGGATTATAGATAATATGGATATGAAGTAATAGAAATGATGTTACCTTATCAGTGGGGTCTTTTAAAAGGGGTTTAGGTTAGTCAGATATTTCTAATATGACTGTTAAACCGACACCAGCCTTATAGGAGATAGTAAGAAGTGAAATAAATATACCAAACTGGACGCAGAAAAGGGGTAAAAAATGAATTTGAATTTCGTGGAATATGTTGTTTCTCTAATGTGATAGGAGGGACTGACTAACCTGAGGACTCTTGTATCAAGAGATAACAATATCATTCTATCAATATACAAACTGTTCGTAAGCTGCTCCATCACCTGTGGCCTAAAATCAACACCTTTCTTCTGCACATGTTTATTTCGTTGCACAAGAATATCTAAATTCACAAGCTGTTATCTTAGCAAATTGACTACCGTGTCTCCCAAAAATGGTCTGTATTATCGTTTTTCCTTCGGGGTATCTTTTACTAAAATAGGATTTCTTCAACTGTAAAACACACCTTTATCAATTTTCCAGGTGAGTCAATGTTTGTCATAAACGCCGATTGGCTGGTGGGTGCTCTGCCAGGTATAAGAAAAATCATGAAAAAACTAACATATAATTTCAGTCAGCTCAAGTATAAAAACAACACACTGGCTTCCCCCCCCTCTCTCTCTCTCTATCTTCGTTCTTCTCTCTCTCTCTCTCTCTGTCTGTTTCTCTCTCTCTCTCTCTCTCTCTCTTTCTCTCTCTTTCTACGCTCTTGCTATCTCTTTCTCTCTCTAAAAAATCATAGTTTGAATTGCTATCACAGCCATATCATGTGTTCAAGCTTTACACACAAACACACACACACACACACACACACACACACACACACACACACACAACATAAAAACACAACACACACAAACAAAACTAAACAAAAACAACAATCAAAATAAAGAACGTAAAAAAGTGTCGTATCACAAACCATTGTAAACGAAAGTCATACATCGACCTAAACCAATGTGTTGAGGCAATACATTGTGTCGTTGCTCCCTTCAACGCAACACCCGTCGAACCAAGTATATCCTGCCACATCTCACGCACACCACTACACACCCTACTCCCAGTCACACATTACTAAAGAAAAAGTATAAGAATAGGCACAGACGCGAAGCAGGGAATCATGAACGACTAACCAAATAGCACCTTAAATTTACCACATGCAGAATTAAGATTGTATAAATATTTAAAAAATAACTAAAGCCCGCCTTCCGCCACGCGCACTATCCCGCGCATCACAACCCAAACACACCACTAATACATATACCACAACATACTTACATAGCACATTGTGTTATCTATATAAAGTACTAATATTATAAGACATATATGTATGTCGTGCCGGATCGGTGAATAGAGATGGTTGTTGTTTATTGGGAACATCAGAGGGGTGAGTCCATGGAAAATTCACAAGTGGGATCCTATTATAATTACTGATCCTATAAATTTTTCTTTCAAAACAATTTCAGAATAACTTCACATGACCTAGCCTCAACTGTTTATTGACCTGTTATATCAAACGAGAAACACCATAATCTGTTCATGTGTTTAATGAGTGTGCGGTGTGTTGTGTGTGTGTGTGCGTGTGGAGTCCGTGTGTCTCTCTGGTACTGGTCCTACTGAGTGTCGTGCGCCTGCGTGTTGTGGTGCTGTTGCGTGGTGTTGTGCTGATGTGCTGTGTCTAATGAGTGGCGGGGGCTGGCAAGTGACGGTGTGTGTGTGTGTGATGCTGTTTGTGTGGTGGTGTGTTGTGTGGTTGTGTTGTGGCGGGTATGTGTGTGTGTGTGTCTCTGTCAGACCACTTTTGTATTCATTGTCGCTTTCCGTGGTGTGTGTGTGTGGTCGTGGTTGTCTTCATCGAGTGTGCGTTGTCGTGGCGTTGCGTTGTGCTTTGATGTGCGTCTCTTATAGCTCTGATGTCCTGCTGTCTGTACACTACGCACACCAGGATTGTTATCCTCACACCCAATTCACATTTTCTCCCGACGTTACTCTTTCTTACCAGTTCCAACACAATTTACATCTTTTCAAATTCCTCCTATACTTGGGTTCCACGTATCCAGCCATCGCAGCTGTTCTCTTGCCTTTTGATCGTGGATACCCACTCTGTTATCACTTTTTTACTACTCCCCTTATCATCCATCGTTCTTTGAAACAAGATTCTTTAGGAGTTACCCCTTTTCTTATTCGCAAACACTCACAAAAAAATAATCTCTTAATACATACCATAACACAAACAAAAAAAAAAACTTTTATATTCCTCGCTATCTCCCCTCCCCTTTATAACTACCCTTCTCCTCTCTTCCCCCATATATCCTCCACTCCCCCTCCCTCCTCCCCTTCCATTATATATACCAGTTATCACCTCCCCTCCCCTTCTTCTCCCTCATTCCCTACCCTACCCTTCCTTCGTCCATCTTACTCTTTCTCCACTCATGATAACTTTTGTATGCTATCTGCTCACGCTGCATTTCTCGTCATTTCTTAATTCACCACAACTCCACCTGGCTCCCCTACCCCATTCTATCACTCTCACTCGTCTCCCCCTCTACTTTCTTTTCCTTTCACTCTCCCCGCCTTTTCCTTCCCCCCTTCCTCTCCCACCCGTCGTGAAAAAAAAAAACAAAATAAAATAAAAAATAAATAAAATATAAAAAAGTCTATAATGAATATGATAACTTCATATTGAATATGATCGCACACAGGTCAACTCTGAATCCACATACAATGAAAAAGTTCCTACACTGTACTGAAAACGATATTAGGTAGCATGAACCTTTAATGAACCTATTATGGCAACAGTAATAAATGATGGAATGATTTTTCATAGATGGGAATGTTATGGCCGTCAGTGAGAGTCAGAGCATTCGCCTGTGGGTTAGTACTTGCTTGTGCGGTCCGAATAGGAAAGTCAAAACAAGATGACTCGAGAGGCAGAGATCGAGTCATGAGTCGGCAAAGGGAAATCGTCATGAGCTTGAATTTGTTCCTTGACTCGCCGTCATGGAGATTGAGAGTCATTCCTTGATTCCCATTAGTTTTTTTTTTTTTTTTTTTTTTTTTTTTTTTTTTTTTTTTTTTTTTTTTAGATTGTTGTTGTTGTTGTTGTTGTTGTTTTTTGTTTATGCGTGGGTGTGATTCGTGGTTACAGGTTTTTGGTTTCAAGTATTAATTTATCAGTTTATTATAATATTTAAGTTATTTAATTAGTTATAAAACAAAATTTTTGAGTGATAATGATAATAATGATAATAATGATATGATAATGTAATATTTGATAATAATATGATAATGATATAATTAATAATGATAATGAAAATTATGATAATGATAATAATAATTATAATAATGATCATTAAAATAATAGTGATTGTATCAGTATTAATGATCATAATGAATAATAATGATAATGATAATAATGATGATTATTATTATCACTATCACTATTATAACTATTTTCATTATCATTGTTATTATCATTATCATTATTGTCATTTTTATTATCCTTATTACTTCATTTTAAGTCATTATTGTCATTTTTATTATCCTTATTACTTTATTTTAAGTCATTATTGTCATTCCTATCATAATGGTGGCAATAACAAGAGAATATTAACAATGACAATGCCTATAACAAAGATTAATCAAAGCCTATTTCTAGACTCGACCCGCCATAATGATAATAATAATAAAGAATTTAAAGGAATGTCACGCCCAGAAATTCTTTAGAGTGAATCTTAACATGAAAATATTTCCATTGAACTCTCCGCCATCTCCACGAGTCACGATGACAGACAATAGACGCATGACTGTCGTAAATACCAAACGTAATGGAATCGGAATGGAGAAGAAATGGGGTTGGATTGTCTTTTAAAGTTTATGATCCCGAGATTCTTGGCGGAGCGGCTTCTCACACCCTTCCTTGCAGAATCGGGGAATGGAGACAAAAACACCTTCGAGATGTTTTTTTGTTGTTGTTTTTTTATGTCTTCCGTTATCCTGTGATTTCGGAAAGTGTAAAGTGCGGTGTTTGTCGTTTCAGGGTTGTTTGCGAGTGTTTAACGAGGTCTCTGTTATTAGTGGCTGTGGGTGTCTCTCTCGCTCTTTAGTGTCGGACTGCCTACCTTTCTTTCTGATTATCATTCTCTCTTTCTCTTTCTGCCTTTATATATATATATATATATATATATATATATATATATATATATATATATATATATATATATATATATATATTATATATATATGTATACACGATATATAAGACATACACACACACAAACACACACACACACACACACACACACACACACACACACACACACACACACACACACACACACACACACACACACACACACATATATAAATTAGTAAAATGTATATGTATATAAACATACGTAAGTATGTATGTATATACATAAATTGTTTGATAGATGGATCGATAGATAGATAGACAGATAGATAATTTCATCTTATCACCTCTTTCCTGTCTCTCTTTCCTTTTCTCTCTCTCTCTCTCTCTCTCTCTCTCTCTCTCTCTCTCTCTCTCTCTCTCTCTCTCTCTTTCCTCTCTTTCTCTTCTCTTCACTCTCTCTCTCCTCTCTCTCTCTCTCTCTCTCTCTCTCTCTCTCTCTCTCTCTCTCTCTCTCTCTCTCTCTCTCTCTTCTCTCTCTCTGCTCCTGCCTTATTTCCTGCTATGAAATTGCTGTCTAGATACTGATTTACAATATCGAGTATAAACGAAATACGATAGGATAAATGATAAAGGCAAACAATGATTATTTTTAAATAATAGTTCTTTTGGTTTCGTAAAAAATGAGATTTTTTTTATTCATGTCAACAAAGATATATTTTAAGATTAGTTGAGCATAATTCAAAACAAAAAAACCTGCATATAAGATTGAGCAATAATGTTTATAATATTAATCGTCGCGTTCCGGTTTTTACACGAACGCCAATTCGTTTTCGAAGCCTTGGCCATTCTGGAATCCGCTCTCACTAGGAATTACAAGCTCGTCCTGGAATCCAAGATTATCCTGGAATCCAGTATCATCCCGGAATCCAGTGTTATCCCGGAATCCACTGTTACCCTGGAATCCAAGGTCCTCCTGGAACCCAACCCCGTTCTGGAAACCCAAGTCACTCCCACTCGGTTCGGACGCGTCCCCAAAGCGAGAGTTGATGACGTCATAGAGAGACGGGGCCTGGTCGCAAGGGAAAGCGTCTTCAGGAAGGGTGCAAGTCAGCGTCTCCTGGTTGAAGATCGTCTGGTTGCCGCAGAAGAAGGGGAAGTGGAGGGTGTCTTGTACCTGGGGAGAGAGGAGGGGTGCCGGCGTTAGGAGGGGGAAGGGAGGGGGGGGGGGAGGAGAGGAGGGGAAGGAGAGAGAGAGAGAGGGGGGGAGGAGAGAGAGAGAGAGAGGAGAGAGAGAGAGAGAGAGAGAGAGGAGAGAGAGAGAGGAGAGGAGAGGAGAGAGAAGAGAGAGAGAGAGAGAGAGAGAGAGAGAGAGGAGAGAGAGAGAGAGAGGAGAGAGAGAGAGAGAGAGAGAGAGAGAGAGAGAGAGAGAGAGAGAGAGAGAGAGAGAGAGAGAGAGAGAGAGAGAGAGGAAGAGAGAAGAGAGAGAGAGAGAGAGAGAGGGGAGAGAGAGAGAGAGAGAGAAGAGAGAGAGAGAGAGAGAGAGAGGAGCACACATACCGAGAGAGAGGGAGAGAGAGAGACAGAGCCAGAGAGAGAGACAGAGAGAGAGAGAGAGAGAGAGAGAGAGAGAGAGCACACACATTTAGAGAGAGAGAAAGAGAGCGAGCGAGCAAGAGACAGACAGACAGACAGAGAGATCATATACGCGCACCGCAAACCCACCCCTCTTTTATACACACACAAAGATTCGACACTCCACCACTCCTACACATCAGATCCTCAAATCCTCCTCTTACCTGTCCCTCAGCATCAGCAACTGGCACACACACGTGGAAGAGCTGGCACCCGGACTGCATGTCGGCAAAATACCCATACCCACGCCCCTCGCAGCTGAAGGAACCGCCCGTGTCACCTGTCAGTACCTGTGAGAAAATGGGCGGCGATAATTAAAGGGGATACTACTCGAAGTAAATTTAGACAGGAATAGATGTCAGAGAGTTAGGTAATTAGCGTAAGAACGGAAACAGGTCATTGTCATAGTCATGTTCTTATGTTCCAGGGATAGATTGGCTAGTTTAGAATGCCATAAGTTCGTCCCTCAGTCGTTTAGTATTTATTTCGTGTTTTGATATTATTAAGATGAAAAGCTAATCTTCGTAATTATAATTTGTATCCATTTTTTTATCTTATTCTTTTTATTTGTTATCATGTTTTTACTTGTTACCTTTACATACGGTACAATTAACATTGGATTATCTTTGAATAATATCGACACTAATGCAACAGAATATAGCTTATTAGAGAGAACATTTTAATTTATATATACACAAATTCCTTGAATAGTGAATGAAAATACCATGATGTATTTTTCAACAGCGGGACAGGAAGGGAGTAATTATGACAAATATTCAAAATGAACAATGCCATAAAATAAAGTGTTCTGTGAACTTCCTTGTTTTACGATCTCATTGTCACAAATTATGTTCATCCAAATTACAAATTCCTATCCAATCTCTTTCACAATTTGAGTAATATTACCTCTCGTTGAAGTGTTCATTTGTACACTGCCTTTTAGTACATACCTCGGCAGACCTCGTTGAAGTGTTCAATTGTACACTGCCTTTTAGTACATACTTCGGCACAAATCTGACCTCTCGTTGAAGTGTTCATACACAGTACATACCTGGCACAATGTTGAAGTGTTCATTTGTACACTGCCTTTTAGTACATACCTCGGCACAAATCTTACTTCCCGTCGACGTGTTCACTTGTACACTGCCTTTAGTACATACCTCGGCGTTGAAGTTAGTACATACCGTTGAAGTTAGTACATACCGTTGAAGTTAGTACATACCTCAGCACAAATCTTACTTCCCGTCGACGTGTTCACTTGTACACTGCCTTTTAGTACATACCTCGGAACCGGAAGGAAGCAAGGCTGCACGGGCTGTGACGCCCACGAGCAAGAGAATGCCAGTCACTCGAGAAATCTGAAGAAATGCCTGTTTAAAGAACAATAATTTCGTGACTTTTTCCCCGATTCTTGTTAGTAATATGCAGTGTAGAAGTTCAGATTTACGTAGCAGTTAGTCGTTAAGGTACAAAAAAATCGAATGTGAATGAATAATGTACAAAAATCGAGATATGGACAGTATTTAATGAACAAAAATCAATATACGAATAAACTGATGTACAAAAAATGAAGATAAGAATAGTATCTTAAGTACAAAAAATCATGTGAATAGATTCATGAACAAAAATTACGATAAGGATAGCAATCAATTTCCCAAAATCAATATAAAAATATATTAACGTCCAGAAATTAACAAAAAAAAGAGAAAAAAAGAGAGAGAGAAAAAAAAACAGTAGTAGCAGAATCACGTGGCTTCCAACGTCCTTTTCCAATCCCAATCAACCAATCACAAATAAATAAAACTTATAAAACAGGCAGAGTAAAAAACAACGTTCCAACTTCCTTTTCTAATCCCAGTCAACCAATCACCAATAAATAAAACTTCTAAAATAGGCCTAAGACATTTCTAATCCCAGTAATTCTAATCACCAATAAATAAAACTTCTAAAATAGGCAGAATGAAATACAACGTTCCTCTAAGACTTTTCTAATCCCAGTAATTCTAATCACCAATAAATAAAACAAAAATAGGCAGAATAAAAAACAACGTTCCAACTTCCTTTTCTAATCCCAGTCAACCAATCACCAATACATAACTTCTAAAATAGGCCTCTCAGACTTTTCTAATCCCAGTCATTCTAATCACCAATAAATAAAATTTCAAAAATAGGCAGAATAAAAAAAACAACGTTCCAACTTCCTTTTCTAATCCCAGTCATTCTAATCACCAATAAATAACTTCTAAAATAGGCCTCTGAGACTTTTCTAATCCCAGTCATTCTAATAACCAATAAATAACTTCTAAAATAGGCCTCTGAGACTTTTCTAATCCCAGAAATTCTAATCACCAATAAATAAAACTTCAAAAATAGGAAGAATGAAAAACAACGTTCCAACTTCCTTTTCTAATCCCAGTCAACCAATCACCAATAAAAACTTCTAAAATTGGCCTCTAAGACTTCTCTAATCCCAGTCATTCTAATCACCAATAAATAACTTCTAAAATAAGCAGAATTAAAATCAAATGTTCCTCTAAGACTTTTCTAATCCCAGTAATTCTAATCACCAATAAATAACTTCTAAAATAGGCAGAATAAAAAACAAAGTTCCAACTTCCTTTTCTAATCCCAGTCAACCAATCACCAATAAATAACTTCTAAAATAGGCCTCTAAGACTTCTCTAATCCCAGTCATTCTAATCACCAATAAATAACTTCTAAAATAGGCAGAATTAAAATCAAATGTTCCTCAGACCTTTCTAATCCCAGAAATTCTAATCACCAATAAATAACTTCTAAAATAGGCAGAATAAAAAACAACGTTCCAACTTCCTTTTCTAATCCCAGTCAACCAATCACCAATACATAACTTCTAAAATAGGCCTCTCAGACTTTTCTAATCCCAGTCATTCTAATCACCAATAAATAACTTCTAAAATAGGCCTCTAAGACTTTTCTAATCCCAGTCATTCTAATCACCAATAAATAACTTCAAAAATAGGCCTCTGAGACTTTTCTAATCCCAGTCATTCTAATCACCAATAAATAAAACTTCAAAAATAGGCAGAATGAAAAACAACGTTCCAACTTCCTTTTCTAATCCCAGTCATTCTAATCACCAATAAATAACTTCTAAAATAGGCCTCTAAGACTTCTCTAATCCCAGTAATTCTAATCACCAATAAATAACGTCTAAAATAGGCAGAATAGAATTAAATGTTCGTCTCAGACTTTTCTAATCACCAATAAAATAACTTCAAAAATAGGCCTGTCAGACTTTTCTAATTCCAGTAATTCTAATCACCAATAAATAAAACTAAAATATTAATAAAATATAAATCAATTGTTCCTCTCAGACAGACCACTCACCATCTTGTAGGAAGGGCAGTGCCAATCCGTGTGGAGAGCGAAGGAAGAGTGTGAGAAACTGCGATGGTTGGCACTCCTATATAGGAGGGAGTTGCAGGCTAATATTGACAGAGTCCCTTCTCTCCTTCTCTCCTTCTCTCCTTCTCTCCTTTTCTACTTTTCCTGACCTAGCTGGGTCTGGGTCCCCTTTTCCTTTTTTTTGTTTTTGTTTTTTCTTTTCTTTCCAACTTGCTTTTCTAATCCCAGTCATTCTAATCACCAATAAATAAAACTTCTAAAATAGGCAGAATAAAAAACAACGTTCCTCAGACTTTTCTAATCCCAGAAATTCTAATCACCAACAAATAACTTCTAAAATAGGCAGAATAGAATTAAATGTTCCTCTAAGACTTTTCTAATCCCAATAAATAACTTCAAAAATAAGCCTCTCAGACTTTTCTAATCCCAGTCATTCTAATCACCAATAAATAATTTCAAAAATAGGCCTGTCAGACTTTTCTAATCCCAGTCAACCAATCACCAATATATAAAACTTCTAAAATATTAATAAAATGTAAATCAATTGTTTCTCTCAGACGGACCACTCACCATCTTGTAGGGAGAGCAGTGCCAATCCGTGTGGAGAGCGAAGGAAGAGTGTGAGAAACTGCGATGGTTGGCACTCCTATATAGGAGGGAGTTGCAGGCTAATATTGACAGAGTCCCTTCTCTCTTTCTCTCCTTCTCTCCTTCTCTCCTTTTCCTGACCTAGCTGGGTCTTGGTCCCCTTTTCCTTTTTTTTATTGTTTTATTTTTTTTATTATTGTTTTTTTTATTTTTTTTTTTTCCTTTTCTTTTTTTCTTTTCTTTTTTTTTCTTCTGCTTTACTTTTCTTTTATTTTTCTTTTCTTTTCCTTTTCTTTTTTCCTTTATTTTTTCTTTCTTGTCTTTTTCTTTTGCTTTCTTTTCTTGTCTTTTTTTTTTCTTTTTTGATTCTTGCTATTTATATTCTCTAAATTTGCTCTCGTTTGTTACTTGTTTTCCTCACATCCTCCTTTGCTAATATATTCCTTATTCTCCTTCTCATCCTATACCTCTTCATCCTCTTTCCTCTCTGCCCCTTCTTCCTCTTCCTCTACCTTTTTCCCATATTCCTTCTCATCTTTCTTGTCCACCTTTAATTTCTTTTGAACCTCCACCTCCTACTTTCCTCCTTTTCCTCATCCTATCTCTCGTTCTCTCCTCCTCCTCCTTCCCTTCCTCTTCCTTCTCCTCCTTCCCCTCCC